GAAGTACCCTGCATAACATCTGGGTTATTTGGGAAAACATCAGACAATGAAGGTGACAAATCAAAGAGGAGACTGAAGTTAATTCGAGCCAAGACTTTGGATAACGAGGAATGCAAAAGGAGTTCAGTTTTCATGTCAATTTACCTGAAGCCGAGCATGATTTGCATTGGCGGCGAAATTGGCCGAGAAACAATTTGTTCGGTTTGTGCTTACAATTTAAATTCTGAATCAATGATTTTCATTTTACTGCAGTTCGAAGTTGATTTTGGAAGTGCTTCAAAAATTGAAGTCTCATATAAAGTATTCGTGTAACTATTGTAACAGGACGAGGACAAATTGAAATGAAAAATATTTTGCACATAAAAACAACGCTGTTGAGTGCTGGCTACTGGATGGTCAGGTTATATTTCTCTCGGAGTGATATTTAAATTTTCTATTTCGATTTCAGTACTGAAATTGCGTTTTGATCTTAAAATGCTCATTATGCTTTTTCATTTTGCATCAGGGAAATTCTGGTGGACCCCTGGTGACACAAGAATCTGGAAGATACGTGCAGATTGGCATCACTTCATTCGGCGGGACGGAATTTTGCGAAATGTCTGGGATCAGTGCTTTTACCAGGGTCAAGCATTACATGGAATTTATTTGCACAGAAACTGGAATATGCCAATAAATAATTTTCTCAGGATTCAATGATGCCTGGTGGTCGTATAGGGGATTGGTATTTTTTTATCTGAATCTGAACAACTATGAAGAGTAACCGTGGTTTAAATAAGTAAATGTCGATTGTCGATTCTCAGTTTGTGAAGATGAAATGTGCTATGATTTTCATCTTCCCGTGGATTGCTCAAAGAAACCTTCAAAAAGTTTCGCATTTCTTTCCGAGTCAATGGTTTGGAAGTAACTTCATGTAATGAATGATTTTTCAAAAACTGACCGAAAAGTGACAAATTAGGGACCTCTCTGCAATACTCCAAAAGTAATACACGTTACGACTAAAAGACAAAATTAAAAAGACTTTCAATGGTCCACTCAACTTGGGAGACGTTCGAGCTTCGGGGGAACGAGTCTTTTATTGTTGGTTTTTTTATAATCCCATAGGAGAATGAGTCGTCTGCTCAATTCGAGAAGAATTTTGAAATATTGAGACTTGTACCAATGATAGAGAATGATCCTTACAATGTAAGTATCATCACTGACTTGAGATTAATGGACTTTCATGGAACACGGAATCAGATATCTCCTTATGCTAAGAAAGGTGAGTTCATGTGCATTCTTGTTGAGGATTTTTTTCACGGTAATTTTAGGTTTGTCCATTCCATCATGCAACTCCTGAATAACACACATCATGGAAGTTTTGATTATTTTTTGAATTGTGAAAGCAATGGCCAATTCATAAAAAGTTTCAAAGAAATTCTTGAAATCGAGCGTTCAACTTTTAGAATACTAATGTATATGCTTATATTGTATTTCATTGGCATGATTTTTGCACATACTGCGAAATTCTGAAAATTTGAATGACGCGGAGAATTATTGTAAAGGATAACTTGAAAAGTTTTTGATTTCCATTTGTTGCTCATGTCAGTTCTGTGATTCAGCTTTGTTCATTTGATATTTAGGCGATTGTAATCATGAAATTTCCAGGATTTTGATACTTGGGCAATGATGAAATTGTAATTTTTTTTTTATCTTAAATTCAGATAATAAGATACCCTTTGATTGATGTATAATCCCTTTGAATGCGCGTTTAATTTACACAAACCACGTGAAAAGCTTTTTTAATAATATGAAGGTTATGGATAATCAAAAAATATATTTTCTCTTATATAATCATAGAAAATATGTGTTTTTTTTAAAGATTGAATTCATCCATATATGAATGAATGATGAATGAACAGAACACTTTATTTGCAACTTTCAGCGTTCACAAGGTTCAATCAAGATTTCCACGACCAAACTCCCTTCCCACCCAATCCAAATCCACTCAATGACATTTAATCACTTCAGAGAAGGAAAGCAAAAATTGATAACAAAAATAAAAGAAATACAATCCATGAATTACAACTGGATATCTGACATGTATGCATACACCCATTCATTCCCTGACATTGGAAACAAAGTATATGTAAAAATTAATTTAAAGCACAAGGTCTTCAATCCATATACTGTATACCTTCTGTTCAACAGAGTGTGGAATAACGAGTACTGAAAGGATCATTGGCGGGCGAAACGCAAATCTTGGTGATTACCCTTGGCAAGTTTTTCTAAGGATCCAAACCAGTAATGGTCTGAAGATGTCTTGTGGGGGTTCCCTGATTTCCGACAAATACGTCCTGACAGCTGCTCACTGCCTCACGGCGCAAGTACATTTCATTGTATCCCTTCAGGAAAGACCAGTAGATATTTTTCATGTATAGTACCTGGTAAAATAATCGATGGCCAACTTTTGGCGTTAGATCTCGTCCGTTTTTGAGTATAAATTGATCCTCGCACCGTGTCAAAGTAAATAAACTCGCAGGTTTTAATTTTAGAGCCGCGGTTAATGTCGTCAAGATCACCGTAACGGTTGGGAGCGTGGAGATAACGGATTCCAATCGCGGAAAATCGGGTCTGCAAATTGTTAGCACTGGATGGAAGGTTCATCCCCAGTGGGAGAACGATGGAATCGACCATGATATTGGCATCATCACGATCCCCAGCATTGAAAACCAACAAGGTAAGCAAAATCTTACCCGAAGTAACTTTTCCTTTTTGATAAATGATAACGAAATTACGTGATCGCAGTAATTCTGCTTCTAAAGTGCAGTAGGAGTGTATAGTGGATAAGAAAACTGGTGGATCTGCATTATTTTTTCGAACTTTCGATCAACCGAATGTACCTACAAAAATGAAGTCATTTCAGGAGTTATTTTCTTCGTTGATGATACGAGTTTACCTGATTTTTTAGACGAAACTTAAATAAGTCTAGGCAGTTTGGTAAAACTGAAAATAAACCGAGCTATGATTAACCGAATATGAACATCGTATCTCGTCCATGTATATGTTTTTCCTGATTTCCCGTCCATCCCAACTATCAATTTTAATGGCACATTTATAGGGATCAATACCTGACAAATGACTAAAGCACATCGTTTCTCATACCTGTCCCACCGCTTTCACAAAAATAAAAACAGCTTTATTAATTCTCTAAAACAAAAATGTTGGAACATGAGAATAAAAACAAAGAAAAACAAGTCAAACAGCCTCTGTTCAATTCCTTTACTGGTTTGGGCTGAACACATTTTTGTGGGGTGAAAATGGCACTTGAAACCGCCAAAACTGTCTCCATAATCTTTGTAAATCGAGGAATACGAACTGGACTTTTAAAATTACAGACGCAGTGTATCATCCGAATTTATTATTCGAAATCAGCAGTAATAAATCGATGAATATTCGTTCAATTTCGTTGAATAAGTCACTTGGACGCCAGTTTGCTTGCCGACAAAGACAACCGAGGATGTTGAAGTGCCCTGCATAACGTCTGGGTTCGGGAAAACATCAGACGATGAAGGTGACAAATCAGAGAAGAGACTCAAGTTTATTCGAACCAAGACTTTGGATAATGAGGAATGCAAAAGGAGATCAGCATTCATGTCAATTTACCTGAAGCCGAGCATGATTTGCATCGGCGGCGAAGGTGGACGAGAAACAGTTTGCTCGGTTTGTGCTTTTCGTGAATAATTAAAGTTCTCATCCGTTATTTATAATTTTTTCTTTCGAACATTTACCGCATAATTTTTTTTTCGTACTTTAATCAAACGTGGAGAACCTGCATTTTTTTTTAGAAATACAGTCCACGTAGGATTAATTTATGAATACGAGTAGTTTTCTTAAATTATATACACATTAAACTGGGCTTATTTGGACCAATTTTCTGACCGCATCTCAGAAGCAAAACAAAATTACGCAGTATTTTGATGAAGTTTTGAAGTTGATTGCTTTTTGCGTTTTTTATCGAGTTAATTTTCCGATGAAGGTTGATGGCGTCATCCTGAATAAATTCTGACCGCATCTCAGAAGCAAAACAAAATTACGCAGTATTTTGATGAAGTTTTGAAGTTGATTGCTTTTTGCGTTTTTTATCGAGCTAATTTTCCGATGAAGGTTGATGGCGTCATCCTGAATAAAGCCTACCTTTGAAAAATGTTTCAAAATGTGAGGGATACATTGAAAAAATTGGTCATATGGAATTGTGTAGTTTTTATTCATCTGCAAGTTTCTTGAAGATTCATTCCATGGCAGAGCCGGCTTTTTACTTTTCATATTTTGAATGCAGGCCACATTTTGGTGACCATGCATATTTCAACCCGAAATTGGCCTGTAAGCAAAAAATAAAAGTTGGGATATCTAAGATTTTCATAAGGAAGACGAAACCCTTTTCTTGCCAATATTCTTCAATATTATACTCCTATTGCAGCTAGGAATGTAGAAAATACCGTCACCCAGCGTGAAATGCTTTTTCATTTTTCAGCAAACTATTCTGCGCTGAAAGAGGAAAACAAACACTGAGGTTTGATCAGTCCAGATTTCCTAGAATTTCTAATAGGCTACAAATTGTATTAAAATAAAATATTCACTCCACGTACTGCGGATGAGTTACATTTCTCAAAATAATTCCTTATTATCAGGGAGATTCTGGTGGGCCCCTGGTGAAGCAAGAATCTGGAAGATTTGTGCTGATTGGAATCACTTCATTTGGCGGGACGGAATTATGCGAAACTCCAGCTCCAAGCGCTTTTACCAGGGTTAAACATTACTTGGAATATATTTGCAATGACACAGGAATTTGTCAATGAAAGAAAATTTGCAAAGATCCCGTTCTCGCAGTGGTATTCATAGCGTTGCAGTAAAACAGCGTGCTGATGTTGACGTGATATTCTCACGAAAACGCGTATATTTGACTCCTTGAACAAAAATGTTGAATCCACTTCATATATGCACTGAAATATCGAACGAAAGTTCTTGAGGCTGAGAGTCTTTGATTTTCAGCGTAAAAAAGATCTTGTGGCATCATATAGGATATATAAAATGTTTTTTTCCTAAAGGCTAATGGAATAAATCCTCAATCATGCCCAAATTCGTTTTTCTAGTTCCATCATATCGCATGCCTTTTTAAAAAACCGTATATGGACAAGCATTTTAACAAAGCAAAAGTGAATTTTTGATGATGAGAACTTATTGTCATGCTTATACGCATAAAAAAGTACACATATCGAATTCGAAAAAAATGCTGGACTATCAGGAGACCATCTTATAAGACTAATACTAAAAATTGAAAGCTGAAACATAGGACATTTTTGCAGCGGAATTCAAGCCTGAATTTTGGAAATTAGCTTCGCCCTTCTGTTCCTAGTCTCATGAGCATTCATCATGGCAGCTTTCACCACATCTTTACTCAAACCATCCACTAACGTATCTACTGTCAAACGTTCAAATCTATTCGGGGAAATTTTTAGAATGTAAGGATTTTTGGCGACCAACTTCGCATTTGTCATTCGAACCATCTCTAAATCTCCCGCAGCAGTGGCTCCAATGCCCCTTTGCTGCAAGGTTAAATTTCGCATCGATGCTTCATTATTCCTTCTCTTTAGCTTAGCAGCTATTGACATATTTTCGAATCCGAAAAAAAACAGGGCGATTTTCTCAGCGCCAGCGACACACAACGCTAAATTCCGCAATTGCTGGGCTTTTGCGGACTTTGCCAAATCTGCAGTGTCGCTGACTGCAAAACCGATCAATGCATTCGTGAACAACAGACCAACGAAAATGAAGATAATGAAGATGGTGCGGTTGAGCCAATTTTGTAAGGCGATGTTGTTGAAATCCAGTTCTCCAATGGCCATGACTAGAATGCGGGTGACCCAGGAAACGAGATTATTTGCGTATGAAGTTTTTTCGCTATTTGGCTGCAAGGCTGCGAAAGCAACTCCGAAAGGGATGATGACGGTTGCCAAAATAGGCAGAAGCTGTGCCATCTTTTTTGCAATCTGTGTGACCAAGAATCAAAAAGCAGAACTTGAGAATCGCAATTTGGCTGCAAGGCTGCGAAAGCAACTCCGAAAGGGATGATGACGGTTGCCAAAATAGGCAGAAGCTGTGCCATCTTTTTTGCAATCTGTGTGACCAAGAATCAAAAAGCAGAACTTGAGAAAAATGCAGTGGTGAAGGAATAAGTGGGTTAGATGGATATACAATTGATTAAATAGAAATTTCAGGATTTTTGCAGCCTCCCGAAAAATATTTCACACTCTTCTGACCAATGCTTTTTCTTCAATGTCACTTTTTCAGCCAATCAGAAAGCTCTGAAATACAATAATCTAATTTCATTTGAAGCAATACGCACTGTCATTGGGTGATTCAAAAACAAATCTTCAAGATATGAATACTCAATCTTTTGAAATTTTGTGCATGAGTTAGTACAAGTGCTTCTTGGGCTGCAATGAAAATGAATCTCCCACAAAAATTTCAGAGATTTCAGAAAAAACATTCTCACACCCATCCTAAACTAATTGTCTTTTTCGCGTTATTTAAAACATCAATCCACCAAACTAATTATTTTTTCAGTCAGAATGATGTGTCTTTATTTATATCAATTTGAATAAAACAGGAATCTGACAGGTATAGTGAAATCTTCAAAACTTAGGATAACTTGTTGAACTTCTCTATAAAAAATGATTTACATGTTGCAGAAATGAATGTATTCATGCATTACTAAACCGGACCTTTTGAAGTCACTGTTGCTGCACCAGAAGCTTGTGCACCTATGAGATACAAATCTTAGTTGGAGGATTCCTAGATTCTTATTTCTAAAGAAAAGTTAGATTTACAAAAGGGAATACAATATATTCAAGATCCAAAAGTCAGTTCAATTTTTATACAAATGAAAGAAAGTGTAGTGTAGGGGAACCTCTTAAAGGTTCTTTCAAAGACCAGTGGAGGTCAATTATTCTTGTTAACCTGTTGATCTTCTGGAACAAGAGGTGGTTAACTTACTCTAATCCGAAAAGAGAGAATAAACTCATAATCCCAATTACTGGTGGCAGCGGTGGGGTTTTATGCCCCTAGTTTGGGAAGACCTAAATTGAGGAAAATCTGGGAAGGGTGAATCCTTCTTTTTTTCAAAAACGTCCAATGATATAATCCTACATGCTAGGAATTCCTCAAAAATACCACCCAGCAAGGAATTTTAATTTGTGAGGCAGCATTTCCTGCAGGAATAGAAAAAATATCATTATTGGGAAAACTAGGTAATATTTTTCCCAACTTAGGTCTTGGTTCAAAAATCCTATTTTTAAATTTTCAATGCTCATGGGCACATTTTGCAAAAGGTTTCCTGACTTCACCATCCACACAGGGGTTAAAAGTGTACCTGCAACAACAAAGACAAATGAAGGCCAAATGACAAGTTTGGCAAGCTGCCCAACAATAGCACCAGCCTCCATGAAAGCAGGATGAATGCAATCACAGGAATTCTGGGGACAGCTTCTCCATCCAGCAGCACGCACAGCAGTAAGATCATCACAACAAATTCCAGCCAAAGAGGAATTTCTCCTAAACTCCTCCAACCTCGTTGGACAATAAGGAACCCTGTGTGTGCAGCAGCTATGGTTAGAAGGAGTACCATAAACACAATGGTGACACCCATGCTGGTCCATGTCTTTGCATTCTTGAATTCTCTTTCTTCTGCAAAAGTAGATCAAGATTTTTAAAGATGATTGTTGCAGAAATAAATTCATTCATGCAGTAGGAACAAGGCTTTTAAAGTCACTCTTTGCACCAAAAGCTTGTGCATCAGTGAGATAAGAATCTTGCATGAAGATTTTCCACATTCTTATCACCAAAGAAAAGTTAGGTTTAAAAAAGTGAGAATATCTCAAGACCTTTCAATCAGGTCAATTTTTTACATGATCAAAGACAACTTGGAGAACATCTTCTGCTTTAATTTAAGATGCTTTGTGCTTGGGTTGTGCTTTGTTTCATGCTTTGAAGATATTGAATGTCTCTGGGGGGAGTTGGGTTGGGTGGGGAAGGGGTTTGGATGCAGGAGTCTTGGTTGTGCCTTGTGAATGCTGAAAAGCGGCAAATAAAGTGTTCTGTTCATTCATTCATTTAAGATGCTGCAGAGTTTTTCAAGTGTATAATTTGCAGAGTTATTTGCTTCAGAAGTTTGTGCATTGGGATTTGCGCCATAGGCAAAGCATATTTTCTTTGCTGATTTTATAGTTTTGAAACAAGTTTTTATTGCACAATGCATGATTGTATTTGCTGATTGTGGATGTGTGATTGTGGTCTTTATGAAACCTGTGAGCAGAAACATTGATGAAGTCCTCTTTTAACATCCAAGAGTGAGGATGCTCCAGCTTCCCTTATTTTTGCAGTCATAATGCAGTTTTTCACTTATAAAATTAAATTCCCCTGGAGGCTGGGTAATTACCTCAGCATTCAGGTATATCTGACATCTGGATTGTTTTTAATGCAGCTTAAAATCTGTAATGGACAATTTTGACATTACTTGGATATAAGAAGGATACAAATCATTTTTATTGCCAATTTTGTTTCATATTACAAACTCCTGCTGTTTTTAGTCTTTTCTTTTGCAATATTATCATCAACACCATGGATTTACCTGATTGTATATTTCAATTTCAACATCTGATTCACAAATTGAGCAAGGCAAACTCGTATTATTATCTGTTACTACACTCTAACTAAATTCTCTTCACTGCGAATAATCGCAATTTGGCTGCAAGGCTGCGAAAGCAACTCCGAAAGGGATGATGACGGTTGCCAAAATAGGCAGAAGCTGTGCCATCTTTTTTGCAATCTGTGTGACCAAGAATCAAAAAGCAGAACTTGAGATTAATACAGTGGTGAAGGAATAAGTGAGTTAGAAAAATTTACAATTGATTAAATAGAAATTTCAGGATTTTTGCAGCCTCCCGAAAAATCTTTCACACTCTTCTGAACAATGCTTTTTCTTCAATGTTGTGGGGTTGAGAGAGTGCGAGGGGAGACCCGAGCGTAGCATCCTTGCTGGGCTCCACATACGCAGGAGTTACACGTGCCACCGGAACCAAGGTCCTGAATGGCACCTGGTTACCGCCTGGCGGAACCGGGTGGAAAAGATTATAATCATGATTATGGATATTGAATTCAGTGAGGCTCCGAAGCTGTCACTCTGCGAGTAGCCTTGCCTTTGTATGGTTGCTAGCAAATTTACTGATTACTGATTTCCTTCTCTGAGGACTTGTCTTGTGTGTGACGTGTATTGTATGATTGAAATATATTGAAGGCCTGTGATCTTGGTTCACTGTCTGGGCGTTGGGTGCACTGGAATAAAAGAGTGCTTAAGGGACTCCCTTCAGGAGGATCCGGCCTCCTAAAGGCTGTGTACAGTTTTATCTTATTTTACATAAGAATTTGTCATCTCCACCTGACAAATGTCACATTTTCAGCCAATCAGAAAGCTCGGAAATACAATAATCTAATTTCATTTGAAGCAATACGCACTGTCATTGGGTGATTCAAAAACAAATCTTCAAGATATGGATACTCAATCTCTTGAAATTTTGTGCATGAGTTAGTACTAGTGCTTCTGGGGCTGCAATGAAAATGAACCTCCCACAAACAGTTCAGAGATTTCAGAAAAAACATTCTCACACCCATCCTAAACTAATTGTCTTTTTCACGTTATTTAAAACATCAATCCACCAAACTAATTATTTTTTTTTCAGTCAGGATGATGTGTCTTTATTTATATCAATTTGAATAAAAAAGGAATCTGACAGGTATAGTGAAATCTTCAAAACTTAGGGTAACTTGTTGAACTTCTCTATAAAAGATGATTTACATGTTGCAGAAATGAATGTATTCATGCATTACTAAACC